ATTAAAATTAAAATTACCGGAGAAGCTATCTATACAATCGAATGTTGTTGTTGGATATCACGTCGTGTGTACTCGCCGCGTTATGTACGCGTGTTTATTTACATTCATCGAACTATTGCAAATCTTCCTCCGATCTAATGTTGTAAATCTTTTTTTCTTCACTATTCTTTTTGACCAGGATACTACCATTCTGCACCCAAATATATAGAAAACCTTTCGGCTTGAGTTTATTTCTTACAGTCCAAAGAAGCTGTCGTTTGTATTTTGGTAAATCTTCGTTAATGTATATGCGCTTTTCACTGCCATTATCATAGACTTTATTATTCGTTATTTTGGTTTCTTTCTTAACAAGCATCCAGCTGTTGCGAGCAGATTTCGACCGAAGCGTGACCAACACAGTCTTCGGCTTTGCGTCATCCGGTTTTACATGTCCTACCCTCTGTGCATCTTGAATTTCATTTGGGTTTAGATTTAGTTTCTCTGCCATTTTTTGGACTACTAATATAGTATTTTCGTTTTCTTGTTTCTCTAATCCGTGAATTTCAATATTTTTCTCTTTATCTTTCATTTCCAACTCCTGTACCCTTTCTTCTAATGCCTTGTTACATTTCTCCAAATATACATTTTTTTGTTCTAATGCCTTAATTTTCTTTTGAGATTCTTCTTTAAAATCAAGTAATTTCTGATACATATCAGCATAGAATTCAACACCGTTGGTAAGTTCTTCTATTTTCTTCTCCACGCTATAAATCACCGCTAACTTTTTATTTACCTCAGCCAAAACGTAATCTCCAGACTCTTCATCATTCATCATCATCATTACAGCCCTTCACAAGTCCACTGCTGAACATAGGCCTCCCCCAAAGAATGCCACAAAACACGGTCCTGAGCCACCTGCATCCATCGACTTCCTGCATGCCTTACCAGGTCGTCACTCCATCTCGTGGGGGGACGCCCTACACTTCGCCTACCGGTACGAGGCTGCCACTCGAGAACCTTTCTTCCCCATCGGTTGTCGGTTCTTCGAGCTATATGGCCGGCCCACTGCCACTTCAGCTTACTAATCCGTTGGGCTATGTCGGTCACTCTGGTTCTACTGCGGATATCCTCATTCCTAACTTTATCACGCAGAGAAACTCCGAGCATAGCCCTCTCCATAGCTCGCTGAGCGACCTTGAGCTTCCTCATACGGCCAGCAGTGAAGGACCACGTCTCAGTTCCGTAAGTCATCACTGGCAACACGCACTGGTTGTACAATTTCGTTTTAAGGTTTTGAGGTATGTCTGACGAGAAGATGTGTCGTAGCTTCCCGAACGCTGCCCAGCCGAGTTGAATCCGTCGATTGACCTCTCGGTCGAAGTTGGACTTACCCAGTCGGACTATTTGTCCCAGGTAAACATACTCGTCAACAACTTCGAGCTTAGTGTTCCCAACAACTATCGGCATAGGTGTGACATGGACATTAAACATGATCTTAGTTTTGTCCATGTTCATCTTAAGACCTATCCGTTGGGAAACACTATTGAGGTCATTGAGCATAGTGCTTAGGTCCTCCAGCGATTCTGCCATAAGGACTATATCGTCGGCAAATCGAAGGTGAGTGATGTACTCGCCATTGATGTTGATACCGTATCCTTTCCAGTCCAGAAGCTTGAAAACGTCTTCCAATGCAGCGGTGAAGAGTTTCGGGGATATGACGTCACCCTGTCTTACACCTCTCTGCAATTGGATAGGTTTCGTACTCTGGTTCTGTACTCGGATAGCCATCGTAGCCCTACTGTACAAGCACTTCAACACTTCGATATACCGACAGTCAACTTGGCACCGCTGAAGGGACTGCAGCACCGCCCAAATTTCGACGGAATCAAAGGCTTTCTCATAGTCCACATACGCCAGACATAGTGGCAAATTGTACTCTTCGGACTTCTGTACAACTTGCCGAAGGGTATGTATGTGGTCTATGGTGCTAAAGCCTTTTCGGAAACCGGCTTGTTCGGGAGGCTGGAAGTCGTCAAGTCTGCGCGCGAGACGATTCGTAATGACTCTCGAAAACAGCACGTAGACGCGGCTCAGAAGGGAAATTGGTCTGTAGTTCTTCAAGAGAGCGTTGTCACCTTTCTTGAAGAACAAGACCACCGCACTTCTGCTCCACGCCTCCGGTGTAATGCCACTATGGAGGACGGAATTAAAGAGCTTCTGAAGGACTTCAAGTACCGGTCTTCCACCCGCTTTCAGAAGCTCCGCTGTAATTCCATCCTCGCCTGGGGCCTTACCGTTTTTAAGGTGCTGGAGAGCCATCCTAATCTCGCTCAGACTGACATCCGGGATATCTTCGGAATAGTGTCGGATGAGACTCGCTCTTGGATCGTTACTCACACTTGCGTGTGGCTCCAACGATGATGTGTACAGCTGCCCATAGAACCTCTCAATCTCACTCAAAATCTCAGGTGTCCCGGAAACGATGCTGCCACATTCTGTCTTCAGCTTTGACAGTTGGCTCTTTCTGGCAGACAGATCTCTGGCAAAGACTTTGGAGCCTTGGTTCCGCTCGATCGCTTCTTCAATACGAGCTGTATTGAAGTTGCGTAAGTCCCGCCGCATGCATTTGGAGATCTGTCTGTTCAGATGCCTGTATGCTGTCAAGTCTGTTGAAGAATGTAGCTTCATCTCCCGTCTAACAGCCATGAGATTAAGAGTGTGATCGGAGAGTTTTTGTGTTCTTCTGCGGCGGGTCTTGCAGAACTTAGCTCCAACCGCATGGACAGTTTCCACGAACTTGTCATTCATATCGTCCACTTCATTGCAGTCTTCTAGGCACTGAAAACGGTTTTGTAACTCGAGCTGAAAGGTTTCGGGACTTTGAAACAGAGCACGAGGGGGACGGAGCGTTGACTTCATTAGACGAGACCTCTCCAACTTAACGTTTAGGTTCAGTGTGCCTCTAACCATTCGGTGATCGCTACCAGTTTTCACCCTCGCGATCACGGAGACATCACTGAACAGTTGTCGTCTGGTCGTCATAATGAAGTCAATCTCATTTTTTGTGGAACCGTCGGGGCTCGACCAGGTCCACTTCCTGTGGGGCCGCTTCTGGAAGAAAGAGTTCATCATAAAGAGTCCCTCTTTCTCCATGAAGTCGGCCAGCTGCTGGCCCCTTGGGTTCCGTTGCCCTATTCCAAATTTCCCTACTTTCAGCTCACCGTTCTGTCTTGTGCCTAGTTTTGCATTGAAGTCTCCCATTAACACCGTATATTGGGTTTTGGAGGAATGCATGGCTCTAGAGATATCCTCATACATTTCCTCCACCTCCTCATCGGGGTGTGCCGAGGTTGGTGCGTAAACCTGTATGACCTTCAGCGAATACCGTTTGGTGATTCTGAGTATAAGGTACGCAACCCTCGTCGACACACTCCCGATTTTTACAACGTTGTTAACGAGAGACTTGTGGACGATAAATCCGACACCTCCTTGGGACAGATGGTCGCCCTCCCGGTGATAGAGCAAGTTGCCGGATTCGAGGATTACCGTGTCCTCCCCCTCTCTTCGGACTTCAGATAATCCTATAATATGCCAGCGCAACTTGTCTATCTCTTCTTCCAGCTCCACGATCTTCTCGTCAGTCCTCAGGGTGCGTGCGTTGTACGTTGCCAGGTCGAGTCGTCTAAGGTGGCAACCGAACCTCCACCGGAGATTCTTAGCACCCCCTGCCCCGCCGTTACCATGGTCGCCACCGTAGCCAGGAATAGCGGGGCCGCCGGGGACTGGGGGCCGTCTCTTTGTTACTCTCTTCATAGGGGGGTATTTGCCATAGTTGCCACGCTTGGCGAGCGGGTTGGCAACCGCAGCTTTTTTATTGTCATTTGGCTATTATCAGGAAGATGCTGCTGCCCATCTCCTGGCTGTTTCCCTTTGTCGCCTTTTACGACACCCACGGGAGGATATGGGGTAGTGGATATTCTTGACCGCCACTACACGGCATTCAGCTGTTGTAATTGTAACACGAATGGGTTGGCTCGACCGAGTAAGGACCACGCTCTCACAGAATAACAGCAGTGTGTTTCGTATGGAAATCTAATATCGTTTTTACTGGAAATTAGGAATTCCATTGATTGATTTGTGATTAATGATTCTTAATCGAGGATAGATGTAGATGTCAATGGGCTACAGCATACACTTAAAATAACTATAAGTAAAAATAAAATATTCTCAACCCTAGTTTAACCTCATATTATGGTGTTCACGTTACAATGTAAACTGGCGACGTTGGGGTGGCCGCCTTGTAATTTCACCAAATTTTTATCCCTAAAACGATGCAGTTAGCTTGAGTCCCCTCGGATAGGAAGCTTTTTATTGAATCTATTGTCGTCGTGAAGACAAGGGCAGTGTATTAAAGAGGTGCTCTGATTCCCTCCGCTTTGTCTTGGAAAATAAAACTGTGTTTGAACAAATTGAATTTATTTTTACTTACAATTAGACCTGATAGACAGTTACTGATAGACAACACATGCTATAAACGTATTAGGGCGTTCCGATATTGGCAGTACATTCGTATCTTGCTTACGCCAGAATATGTTGAAAATGGGCCAAATTAAGTGTACCCTTAACCGACGAGCATATATGTTTTTTTATAGGATAGGGTGACAAAGGAGCACACAGTGCACCTGATGGTAAGTGGTTGCCGTAGCCCATAGACATCTACATTTATCCTCGTTTACGAATCAAAATGCAGATGCGTTGTCAACCGTGAGGACTAAGATGGAATGCCTCTTTTCCAGTCAAAAGGGTCTCCGGATCTCTACACTCACCATTCGAAACACAGCAGTGTTAAGCTGCTATTTTACGCTGGTATTCATTATTCACTTACCATCAAGTGGACAATGTTCTCGTTTACGCTGGTATACTGTGTGAGTATGGCCATCTTTCGGTCTTGATGTTGTCATAAAACAGCTGCAGCGTGGCTCTACCACATTGTAAAATTTCACCATAGCCAATATTGCATATCATCTTTGGTAGAATTTAAAGGCAAATCCAGACTCTTCACTAGGATTTAATGTGATTTTCGTATCATCTACGGACTGTTTAGGGCTGCTTTTATTTGTCTGGCAGTCGTCGCAGAGCATACTACTTAGGAACTTTTTATTTACACATTTTTTATGGTAAACATTTTCACATTCTCCCTTACATCTCACTACATCCTCTTTAGCCAAAGATAGAAACAGTTTGCATTTCTTACATTGCACCATTTTCACTTATGCTTAGTTAATTATTTGCAAAATTGTTATTTGGTCACTGCTAACGCACTTAAATCGATACACACAACCGTGCATTGAGCGCGCGCGCACGGAATAAAAGGATTGATAACGTCTTTCTGCTACCAGGGTGGCGTCACTTAGGAGTGAGGTGAAATATTTTTCAGATTTCGTAGTGGGGTATTTAATTTGTTAGAAAAGTGTCGAGATTGATGTTTCTTTCTTTAATATTTGTTATGTTTTATAATTATTAGAACATAAATGGATAAACCAAACTACGAATGAATGAATATTCGTAGTTTGGTTTTATAGTATTTAAAATATAGTTTAAAAATATATGAATATAAATATGCTCTAAAACCAGAAAAACTTTTATTTAAAACACAAGTTTTTTTTTTATAGGATAGGGGTGACAAAAGAGCACACAGTCCACCTGATGGTAAGTGGTTGCTGTGGCCCATAGACATCTACATCTATCCTCTATTACAAATCAATATGTAGATGCGTTGTCACCCGTGAGGACTAAGATGGAATGCCTCATTTCCAATAAAAAGGGCCTCCGGCCGCCAGCACTCACCAAGCGAAACGCAGAGGTAAACCTCTACTTCACGCTGGTTTTCTGTGAGGTCGTGGTACCACTCCGGTTCGAGCCGGCCCATCCGTGCGACAGCAAAAGCTGCCTCGTGGCTCTACCACTGTTAAAATTTTTCAATGATGATGACAATGTATGACTATGTCATAGCCTGCGTAACAAATAAGTTCACCTTAGTCCCAACTAGCGCCATCTAGTGATCGTGAGATTATTATTAGTCCTCATTGATTAATATATTGCGTAATAATTTTTTATGGAATAAGGGTGATAAACGAGCACACAAGCTATCTGATGGTAAGTGGATGCTGTGGTTTACAGAAATCTACATTATTCCTTGATTAAGAATCAAAATGGAGATGAGTTGTCACCACAGAGAACTAACATAGAATGTTTCTTTTCCAGTAAAAAGAGTCTCCGGTTCTCTGCATCATTATGCTGCTATTTTACGCTGATACTTCATGAGAACATGGTCCTACCCCGATCGAGCCTAACCATTCGTGCTACAACCCATAAAGCAGTTGCAGCGTGGCTCTATCACGTCAAATATCACGTAACGTACATCCAAAAACATATATTCGAATTGAGGACCGCCTCTTCATTTAAAGCCGGATAATAAAGCCTTGTAGTACTTACTATACAGTACTTATACACCGCGTTATAGTGAAGTAAGCAGTACATTATAGTAGGCAGTACTATATCAATAATTCAGCCCCAAAATCTAAATTCATGTAACTCACTTCCTTCAGTTGGAAATTAATCAAACTGTGCGTGTTAGGTGCTCAGAAATACCACGCGACGTTCGATTTACCCACCTTATTACACTTTGCTTTGGGAATCGAAATAGGTCCGGTTAATGAAGCGAACTTTAGGGGGTGTTTCATTTATAATGTTTAACTGACCTGGCGGTAATCAAGCTACGAAGAAATGTTACAAAATGTAAACCTAGTTAGTTTATACCTTAACCGATATAGCGTGTAGAATATTATTTCTCTTTTTAAATAAAGTACATGGCTTGGCAGACGTAGTTCTGCTATTTCTGATAGGTGGCATGATGAGTTTTAAAAATTAATTAAAAACTAGACTACAGCGCCACCTATTGGATCAAGATTTTGTGATTTTCTTTTCTGGTATTAAAACAATATATATTGTGACTACATACTACAATGTATATTGTGTATACAGAATCGAAGAATCTCAGATGATTAGCGCACGCTGTAAATTTCACTGTACGCGAGCAACCCGGTTTCTATCCCCGCCGGCATCAATGAAATTGTTAGTTGCAATTTTAAGTGCTGATTTACCTTGTCCTCCGAGTTGAAGGAAAACATCGTGATGAAACCTGCATGTCTGTGAAATAAGAAAAAAAATTCGAAGACACATGAAGTTCGCCAACTGGGAGCAGCGTGGCGGACTTTTCCTTGCCCTAAAATCCTCTCAGAAATGAGCGGAGGCCTGTGCCTGGCAGTAAGAAGTATATAGGCTGTAACTTTAACTTTTTTAACTTTTTTATAGGATAGGGTGACAAACGGGCACACAGTTCACCTGATGGTAAGAGGTTGCTGTGTCCCATGTACATCTACATTCATCCTCAATATAGAATCAAACTGCAGATGAGTCGTCACCCGTGAGGACTAAGATAGAATGCCTCTTTTCCAGTAAAATGGGTCTCCGATTCTCTACACACACCATACGAAACACAAGTAAAGCTGCCATTTTACGCTGGTATTCTGTGAGAGCGTGGTCTTTTCCCAGTCGAGCTGACCCATTCGTGCTACAACTATATACTACTAATATAGCTGCAGCATGGCTCTACCTCTAACTTTTATTTTGTGACTGTGTATTACTTTGGTTCATAAAAATAGAATTTCACGCTCCGGGAAGTCTGCAGTCTGTGAACACGTATAGGATCGCCCCCGTCACTACATTAGATTTGATAGACCACAAATACTCGTTAAAGAACATCAATTCCTTCCAAAGATGATTCGCAAGTCTATTGAAATCAAAGAATATCCTAACTTCTATAGAGAAGATGGCTGTGTGCTACTATGTACTTGGGATTCTATAATTAATAAAACTAAATCCCAACCCAACTATACAACTCCAAGACTTCAAGATACTATAAGTTCATACTGCGTAAATCGGAACAAAGTTAACAATATTAATCTGGAGGTAGCCTTGGTTAACTATGACACTGTAAAGTGCTCAAAACGTCGGGTATATAAAATATGTTAATATACGCGATAAAACCCATAATACGTTCCATATAAATGTGTAGTGTTCGCGTAAATTTAAGAAATCATCAATAATATTTTGTAAAAATGACCTCCGTTAGTCAAGTGGCTCAGACGATAAATCTAATATAATAATATATATTTTTATCATTATAATTATATATAGGGTGTAAAAACTACTAATATCATTAATAATTTATTGGTGCCGGCGGGGATCAAACCCAGGTTGCCCGCGTACTGTGAAATATACAGCGACCGCTTAGCTTCTGCGCTATCACGGTTCTAAGGTTGCATTAAAAATTAAAAAAATTAAAATAACAACTATATGAGATACTCAGAGATATAATCTATTGAAATACTTGTTGTATTTTAATACGACAACAATTTTAATAGATAATAATAATCAATTGCAATTGTCGGTGCATACAAACGTAATTAAAAAGTAAAAATATTTTAGAGATTTTTTTATGTGTGATAATTTTTTATTAATTTGTTATACTACTAAATTCTGCAAGAAATATAGTGTCATTGAACGACGAAAATTAAAATCTTTTTCGTCATCTAATAAATTTACTCTACCCTAGATTAGCGAAATTCAAACTAACGGCTGATTTACACCAGGACAGTAACTGGCTCCAAATTCGAGGCAATTCAGTGCTGACCCGCTACTGGCATAATGTAAATTGATTTGAAGTCAGTACAGCACTGTCTGCGCGAATACTGACTGCGTGTAAACGGTGCAAGTCAGTCGTCGGCGCCAGCACTGTCGCCTGTTACCGTCCCCGTGTAAAACAGCCTTTATAATCAAAATATTTTAATATATATTGGCCTATATAAAGCAGAAACAGAAAGAGAAACTTTTTATTTAATATAGATTATAAATAATACTTATAAGCATTTTTTTCAACGTTAATAAAAACTACGCTATAAAAAAATCCTCCTTTCCGATTTTCAGTGACGGCAGCCAGATTTAACGGAGACTAGCCATCGGTGCAGGATAGGATTATAGTGTCTAAGTGTATGTGCAAGCACAGGTGCACTCTCTATACCTCACTCTTATTTTCCGATGGGACGATAATGAGGTACGACTGGAGAGAGAACAGACGCAGGACCAACAGCTATATGTGCTTTCAGAGGCACGGCTGTGAAACGCAATTTCTTGACTATGGACTACTACAAAAACCCAGTAACTGATTTTGGCTCAACCTGAGTATCGAAACCGGGACCACATGAGCAGTAGCCCAACGAGGCAGTCAAAGTATATAATCGTTCCAACAAGTCCCTACTGTGGAAGACATCGTAAAAAGAAGCTGTAAGAAACTTGAAAGTAGACTATTTTTATCGCAACAATTTAACCACATAAAATATATACACAAGTCAAGATAATCTAAGAAAGATTAATGATCCAATGCCACACGCTTCGCAGCTGTGACTTTGCTCATCCGAAATTGTAATGGTTATTTAATCTGATAATGTTAGAGATACCAAAAATATTTCCAGATCTAAACCCTAATAATAAATATTTTGCCTAGAGATATATTTTTATGAAATAAATTAACGTAATTATTTCCTATACTTTTTATTTCTATAAATCAAAGTAATCATCCATGCAATCGATGTATCTTTGCCAACGCAGCAGCAGTTTACTGATGCACTTCTTGAAGAAATCAGCTAGACGGGAGGCACCCAATTCTTCAATGGTATTTCATACTGCATCTCGGGTATTAATTTTTTCCCGGCAAAAAGTTTTCCAAATTCTGGAAATAGTAGAATTCAGTAGGCTCAAGGTCTGGTAAGTACGGCGGATGACGAAGACCTTCCAACCACGGCTCTTGTAATATTCGCTACGTTAGTGTCGTTGATGTTGCGTGCGGCTTGTGCTACGTTGCTGCCACGACGGTACTCATATGCAACAATTACTCAAATTTTTAACGTATCTATAATGATGGAAAAAATTCAAATGCGATAAAAACGTAACGTTTATCAATAAATAAATGTCTTATTTTGAAAAAAGTCATGTTTATAAAATAAAATTAATTTGGTATTAGAATTCTTAGCCAAACAAAAATCGATCTTGATATTTTGATTTGAAATAGCCAGTACTGCAGAATGATAAAGACGTATTAAATTTTAAGTCCTAAAAATTACTTTCAGTTAAACCCAAACCTAAG